AAGTGTGTTCCAATGCAGTCAATACAAGTAGAAAATGCTACATTTTTTTCTGTGTGGAATGCATCTGGAACATGGCAAATTCCTGTACAAATGCACCGGAGCACATAAAAGCGCACCGGAACACAGAATTTGTGATGTGAACCAGCCAAAGGAGTGAATGTTGTAAACATACCGAGCAGAAATTTTGTCATACTAAGAAAATATCTCCTTGTCTAAGTTCACACTGTTGCAAGTGGTTGCTGGTGCAGGACAGCATGTAGATTACACCCAGGGGCGGACTGACCATTTGGAAACTCGGGCACTGCCCCATGTGATGCCCCTGGTACCTTTTTCATAGGCTTTTTTGAGTTTGGGCAGGGACACAGGGGCCCCATGATCCCCTATTGCCCGGGGCCCCATGAGTTGTCAGTCTGATTACACCTATTCTTGCACCCGCAACAACCTGCAGCTAAAACACACTGCTCTTTTGCAGATGTGTGGAGCTGTCATTCATTCTTAATGGCACCCTGCCCATCTGAAAATGCAGAGCTTTTATAGGTGTGGGAAATCACATTGCCAAAAGCACTATGCAATTTCCCTATGTCAGCATTTTTAAAAAAAGATCCAGGAACCTTTTTCCTGCATTTCCTGCCGGTACAGCAGCCCATTCAAATGAATAGGCTGCTGTGTCCGGGCAAACACGAGCCGCAGCAAACGCATAGGTGTGAAACTAGTGTTCTACCACAAAAATCTATTCCAATCACTGGGCATTACCATCATTATTACTGTAAAGTTGCTTTTGTTATTATTAACATGTATCCATACGGTAGTTACATTTCATTTTTAGTTTTGGTTAGAGAAAGTAGGGGTTAGAATACCTGCCAGTTTATTTATTATTGGAAACACTTCCATTCGCTTCCTGTCTTAGAGGTGCAACAGAAAGTTAGAGGATATCTCCCAAGCCCCTTCCAGGGATGGCTCACCTGTCAGGTGTAAGCATTCGGGTAACAGTGCCAGCCTCTCTGTGCCCCCCCCCCCCCCCCCGTGTGAAGCTCCCCCCACCCATTGTCTCCTGAGCTCCGCTTGTCCATCTGCGGGCCCGGGACGGCTCACTGCCAGTGGCTGGAGGGGTAGGAGGAGAGAGGACACGTTCGCTCCCCTCCCCTTCTTGTCCTGACTCAGAAGTGACGTTCTAATATCCCCGTTGAGAGATTCCCAGCAATTGAGGCAGGGACAGAATGTAATGCAGTGTATGTGCACTGCATTACATTCAGTGGAGCACAGGGGAGACATGAAGGGTCTTTTAGACCCTGGATGCATCAATAAAGGAACCTGTCACTAAAAAATCATCACATAGGGGACAATGTGATGAAAAAAAAATTTTCAATTAGAAAAAAAAAAAAAAGTTTTTTTTAACTGTAAAAAATGAAGGTTACACCCAAGCACATAACATCCCCCCCCCCCAAAAAAAATTGAGCCTCCCCCCACACATATACACAATACAAATGTAAAAGCACACACTGGGGCGCCTACACATGAAAACGTCAATTGCGATACACATGTTACATATTGCCGCACACACCAGAATGAGAGCAATAATTGTAGCACCAGACGTCCTCCATAACATTATACTGATGACCTAGAAGGGGCTTTAAAAGCTTCACCTATAGAAAATATAGGGTACTGAAGTTCGTTGCCATTTCTCGAGCGCATGCAAATTAAGGTTTGACAAGTTAGATATCTGTTTACTCGCTGCAACCTCATCTTTTGTATTTTACAAAAAAATAGGGTCATTTATTGCTTTTTTTGTGCCCTAAAATTAACTAACTTGTATTTTTTACTGAAATTTTGCAGTAATATCATGCGACATAAAAAATTGGAACTATTTTATTCTCCAGGGTTTCTGATGTCAGAATATATATAATGTTTGGGGGTTTTGTGTAATCTTCTGGCCTAAAATGATTTTCTTTAATCTTGTGCAAAAAACGCAAAAAAACGGCTCTGACAAGCAGCGAAAGGGATAAAGGATAAGCCCGACACTAGTCCCCCTTTCCTGACAAGCACCCAATCAGTGCTCATTACACTGCATGTAAATATGGTTTTGGTTAAAAAAAAAAAATTTTTATCTGGACAAGTAGATTGTCATGAGGGACAAGTAGATTTGGACACCGATTTAGTCCCTTGGACAAGTAGTTTTTTTAAAAATTTCCACACCCCTGCATTAGACAATTGTCTCCAGAACAGGTGTCCTCATTGGATGATTTCCTCTAACCTTCTGTTATGGGTACTTCTCTAAAAGGTTGGGTTTCCCCTCACTTTACCTCTAGTATTGTCAACAGTACGCATAGAGAGTTGAATCTCCCTAGTGGGAACACAGACAGCAATAAAACCTTGACAGAGGGTTTAACCTTTCACCACTCTATCCAAAAATCAGAAAAAGTTTTGGCTATATGTATACTTTAAAGGAGAAGTATGGCCAATGCTTTTTGGCTTTACATCTATGGATCACATGAGTGCAGTTCTTTCTCAGAACTCCTGTGACCTATATTTCAGCCAACACCTCACTAAAACCCGCTGTTGCTGCTTTGCTTCCATTACACATCACATCCTTAAATAGCTGATCTCACAAGCAGAGGAAATTATTGAGTTTCAGACATGTTATAAGGAAGAAAGGAAGTATAGCACTACCCCCTTAAGGGTTGCTTAGTAATTTTTAGGTTCCCTGTCAATCTGGACCTCCTTCTGAAAACCCAACCTCTGGTGACACCCCCACACTCTTGTGACCCAAATAAGTCACCACTGTAAAATGGACTTACACACATAGTTTGACCAAAAAGCACAAAATAACATGGCATATGGAACAAAGATAATCACTCTTGTCGACTTTAAGTAAAAGTAACAGCATCCACAGTAAAGTACTAATAAGCTTTAGCAGGCCTGCTTTCAGAAGTAAGCCACTGCCTCCAATCTGAGGTGAAGGTCGGATCCCCAGCGAGCGAGAACAACTATCAATAAAACAGGTAAACTCACTGCAGGTCCTCAGAACCTGTTGGCAAGGATTAGATTTGAAAATTAAGATTAGATTTGAAAAGCGAGAGAGCTCTCATCTATAAACAACCGATGTCCCTTTAAGAACAATATGGAGTCTTCTGCGCACTAGTTGGGGCCCATTTGATGTGAAGATGATGTAGGGTGTAGATGATAGCTAATAAGTACTTCTCCTCTTAATGGTGGTGAATTGATGTAAGGTCCCCTTTAAGGCACTAAACAAGGACAGAATTGAATGAATAAAGTATAACAGTTGGCATAAGTGTCTGTAAGCAAGAACAACTCTCTCTCTGGGTGACAAGGGCCAAAGGCAACAGTAGTAGAAATCCCATTCAGCTGGGCAGGGTAAATTGTTGTTTCAGTTGGCACTGCTGTATTCTGGCCTTTAGCTGTGTGTCCTGCAGTCAGCTTGGAGGATGAAAGTGTACTGCAAATGTGTTTCAACAATGGCTGTTGAAAGAACTAGGATGCAAACTGGGGTAACTATGTGCACGTAGATAGCAGATGTGATGAAATTATCAGTGTTCACTTAATTAGTGAGTGTATGGGGCCCTCTCACCCGATCGATGTCCAGCAGGTCTTAGCAGTCTGTCTTTCTCTGCAAACGGGTGCTCCCACAGACTCTCTAGTCCCGATTCGGAATCCCGTCTGGTCTCCTGCTTACAGATTGGCTTGCTGGGCAGCATGGCAAGATTGACAATCAGCAGACTCTTTCCACTCCTCCCTCTCTGACTCTGGTCCAATACTCCGGCCAACAGCACACTTCCTCCTCTCTTGATCTCTCCCCTCTCACTTCCTGCTCATTCTCCTGGGCTTTGGGATTTACATGCTCCCACTCACATGCAAGCTCCTCTGGGAAATGTAGTTCCCAGATGTACTGTTCTTTAGTAAAGTCCTGCAATACAGCATACAATCCCATATGGCTGTTCTTCAACGTGTGGCTGCTGCTATTCTGCAGAACACTGTCATCCTGTGTTGGCTTTAACATCTTGCATTAGACATTTATAGCAGGGTGTTACAGAAGAAAACAGCATGACATAAAATATTAAGAAATCAAGACCAATTAAAAAGGGAAGCTGTTTCAATCAGTAAATGAAACCCATTATCACTAATCAGCAATCTATTTTCTTCACAATGGGTGAGCATTAAACGTTTAGCTCTGTATATGACACTTATTTACTGTGATTTGTGTCCCTCGCAGCTCTCTCTGAAGTGAATACTATCTCCAGGCTTCCTCCTGGTATGAAGGTGGGGCAACACTCCAGTTTGTTGAACAAGCAGAATAGATCAATTGATCAGGAAAGATCAAAGATGCCTATCCTCTAAAGAATCAGCACTGATCCCAGCACTTGGCATTGTAGCATATGAGAGATTTGAGTATCATCTATATTTTGAACAATGATTTACACATGTTCAGGTCACTGGACATAAAACACTATACCATCTGAGGATCTTTCATGTAAGGATGTGGGATCAAGCTATCATGGTATATGGTGGTACCCTACTTTACCCTTCCTAGCAGTAATCCCGAGTGTGGCTCGGGGTTAATTTACAGTACCAAAAGTGGTAACCTCGAGCCACACTCGGGATTTCCGTATTTTTTCGCTCCATAAGATGCACCTGACCATAAGATGCACCTAGGTTTTAGAGGAGAAAAACAAGAAAAACAATATTCTGAACCAATGGACTGCAAACATAGTACAGGAGATGACCAGAGACTGTGGACACAGTAGAGGAGATGACCAGAGACTGCAGACACAGTACAGGAGATGACCAGAGACTGCAGACTCAGTACAGGGGATGACCAGAGACTGCAGACAGTACAGGGGATGACCAGAGACTGCAGACAGTACAGGGGATGACCAGAGACTGCAGACAGTACAGGGGATGACCAAGTGACTGCCGACAGTACAGGGGATGACCAAGTGACTGCCGACAGTACAGAGATGACCAGAGACTGCAGACAGTACAAGGGAGGACCAGAGACTGCAGACAGTACAGGGGATGACCAGAGGCTGCAGACAGTACAGGGGATGACCAAGAGACTGCAGACAGTACAGGGGATGACCAGAGACTGCAGACAGTACAGGGGATGACCAAGAGACTGCAGACAGTACAGGGGATGGCCAGAGGCTGCAGACAGTACAGGGGATGACCAAGAGACTGCCGACAGTACAGGGGATGACCAGAGACTGCAGACGGTACAGGAGATGACCAGGGACTGCAGACAGTACAGGGGATAGCCAGAGGCTGCAGACAGTACAGGGGATGACCAAGAGACTGCTGACAGTACAGGAGATGACCAGAGACTGCAGACAGTACAAGGGATGACAAGGAGACTGTGGACCTTTGGGGAGGAAGGGGGAGCAGGTACCTGAATTTGACTGCCACTGCCGCGGAGGTGTCTTCCCTTTAGTGTGGGAACCCGGATGTGACAGCCGGGTGCCCAAAGCGCATGCGTGAGAAGCGCTGTGCTTTGTGAATGGCCCGGCAACTTCTGGGAAACATGACAGGTCTTCTTGCGCATGCGCAGTGAGCACCCGGCTGTCACACACTAAAGATGCTGGCGTGGGAAGACTATGGTAAGGTCCTGCTGCAGAGAAGAGCTGAGCGGCCCGGCCCGGTAGTTTCTACGGTGTCGGCGGCGGAAAAGACACACTGACACAATTTCCCCCCTTTTTTGGGGGGAAAAAAGTGTGTCTTATGGAGCGAAAAATATGGTACTCTATAGTGCTTCTCCTGTGATCCCCAATCCTTACCTTGTCCTGTGATCCCGCGATGTCCTCCCGCTGTGTCCCCGGCCATGTCCTCTGGCCAATGCTGGCATCCGTCTCTCGGGTTTTGTTCCCTGCGAGTGTCAGGGCGTAGGGGGGCGGAACTGGCGGGAGATTCAAAAAAGTTAAAATATGACATACACACAATATATTGTAATCTCTTAGTATTACATTACTGTATCAAAACATTTTGCCTACATTTTGTCCATAGTGCCCTGCCTATACTCTTACCGTTCTTTCTGCCTGGAAACTTGAGAATGTTCATGGCATCCAAAAAATGTCCCTTTAGGTCAAAAGTGGTTTTAGACCGGCTGGAAAACGGTGATAGTGAATTAGAATCACTTTCAGAATTGAGTGATAATGATTCGTGGGGAAATTCGTCATCAGACACTGAAAACGATTCTGCGACTGAGCTCAGTAATGTGCAAACTTGGCGCTATATTTCATATTTCAGTGTTTTGGTTTGATTACATTAATGAATTACATTTATATTATATTATTTTTTATAATTATTTATTATATTATAATTTATGATTTTGTGTTTTCAAACTTTATCATACTCGGGATGTTTACTAGACTCTTGTTTGGACAGATTTAAGTGAGTTATTCCTAAGAATTACAGGCCTACAATATAAAAGAACAAATTTCCATGCAAAACAATGTACCGCTTTGACATTCAAAAATATTGATTAGTTAGACCACCAGGGAGGTTAGGCAACGGTCAGTTTCAAATGGAGTGGTAGGTTCTAACACGGTGCGCTAGGATCTCATCTACATTGTTTAAAGCAATAGCCTGTATGCTGAATAATGTATTTTTTTGTGCAAAGAGAATATGCTGCTTAAACACTTTAATAACTTAGAGGTCAAGGGAGGGGGGTGTTGCTGCAGGGGGCCCAGACTCTCTATCCAACACTCCCTGAAGTGTTTTTTTTACAGTATGATTGCCTGCAAATTATGTTTGAAGTGGAAGAAAACCCTAACTATAATATTCTTAAAATGCCCCCCCCCCCTTTCTACCTATCCTGCCTAAACTGTATAAAAAAATCTGTGTACTTACCTATTTTTTATCTGCTTGGGTCTGGTCATGTGATCCTGCAGCACTGTGGAAGGGAGAGCTTAGCAATGGCTGTGAATTCCAGGAGCTATGAGGTCACCCATAGACTCCCATTATCAGTGCGCCCTCCTTTCCTGCAGCAGCTGCTCACTAACACAGGAAAGCCAGAGCTGCTGCACCAGACCGGAGTGGATTAAAATTCGTTAAGTGTGCACATCTTTTTCATACAGGTTAGCAGGATGGGGGGGGGGGTAATATTTTTAGGAACGGTTATAGTTAGAGTTATCTTCCAATTTAATTAACTGAAATCATATCAGCAGTCAGGGTTTCTGTAAGTACTTCTTTTACAGATACTCTGCCTGTGTTAACCACTTGCCCTCCAGAGGATTTACCCCCCTTCCTGACCAGGCCATTTTTTGTGTTACGGCACTGCGTTAATTTAACTGACAATTGCGCAGTCATGCAACGCTGCACCCAAATGAAATCTATGTCCTTTTTTCCCACAAATAGAGCTTTCTTTTGGTGGTATTTGATCACCTCTGCGGTTTTTATTTTTTGTGCTATAAAGAAAAAAATACTGACAATTTAAAAAATATATATATATTTTTTACTTTTTGCTATAAAACATAGCCAATAAAAAAAAATAAAAAAATCAAATTTCGTCATAAATTTCTGCCAAATTATATTCTGCTACATGTCTTTGCTAAGAAAATACGTGTAAATTAATTGGTTTACGTGAAAGTTATAGCGTCTACAAATGGCGGTATATATACTGCAATTTTTTTAATATACTAGTAATGGAGGCGATCAGCGACTTACAGCGGGCATTCTGACACTGGATGGGAACTGACTAACTGCCACTGACATCCCCAGTGACACCAATACAATGATCAGCACTAATAAAAAGCACTGACACTGTACTAATGACACTGGGCAGGAAGGGGTTAACTTTTGGACGATCAAAGGGTTAGGTGTGTGCTGTGTGTGTTTTACCGTGTGTGCTGTGTGCTCTTTTACCTTGAAGACATGCTGTTTTGTATTTCTCTGCTGTGCAGGAAAATACAGAGCAGCATGTCCTTGCTGGCAGGAGACAGACCTGTGTTGTTTACACACAGGTCTTTCCCCTGTCAGCTTTGCACAATGATCACCGATGCTGGCGGGGAATCTCCAACCAGGACCTGGTGATTGACATGCCTACCCGCCAATGGCAGGGCGGCGTGTGCGCAAGCGCTCCCTACATGGAAATGCAAATCACGTACATATGCGTGATTTTTCGCAGCCCTGCCACCCTGCCACCCTGTAGCAGTAGAACTGGGGCGGCAGGAAAGTGGTTAAACTGTTCCTAAACCCACAACAGTAAAATTGGTCTGTATATGCAGTAAAGCATGCTTGTTATACTCGCTGTGGAACCTAAGGGGTTAATCCTCTGCATTGTGTAAAAACGCTGTTTGATCCTGACTTCTCTAATCCTCCCCTTCTTCCAGTGTCCCCCTCTTATCTCCTGATAAGACATATTGTCACTCTGCACATGCTCAGTTTGGTGTGTATTGCCAGAGAGGTTTTTTTTTAATTATTTTTTTCTTGGGAGAGTGCATGTGATCAGTACAGGAACAATCGGCACTGTCCAGCCAGAGGTCATGGGTCCTGCATCCTCCTAGTGCAGAATGAGAACTCCTCCTACAAGCTTTAACATGTACTCTGCTGGACACTGATAGAAGTCACAAGACTGTTCTAACTGTTGATGAGAAAAGGTATTTAGCAGTTTATAGTTACTAAAATAATTGCACTTCCATGTTTTGTGTATTGTGGGAGACCAGATATAGTGAATGCAGGGCCCTGGGTTTAGTAACACTTTAAGTTTGCAGTGTAGCAAATGATTTTATTGAAGGAGGTGGTTAAAACATTTTTGGATTTTTGGCCAATTAGATGCAAGCACTGTTCAGGTATAGAGCAGCCAGCAGCTGACATTCCTCTTAGCATAGAAGGGTGAATTTAATGGATTTTTCTCTCTATTAGGAAACTGTGGAAGCCAAAACATTACTACAAGAGCCAGGGAACTAGCATCCTCAGACAGATTGTTCTGAAATGGCAGCCTACATAAGTTGCCTTTATCTGGTTACTGTCAGATGCTGAAAGATACTTGATGCAGAAACATATCTCCTGTATTGACATCTGATGCTAAATGTACAAGACATTAAAATAGTTTATAACATGGTAAACCTAACCATGCTCTAGAAAAAGAAATCTGTTATTTGCTGTGTCTTTCCTTAGTATTTTAAGATGAAGCATTTTTTTTTCACTTGTATAAAATATCTTTATTGTCCTGTCCCACGATATATTCATTTGAAATATGATGACAACATTGTTCATACTTTGGGGACATTTTTTACCAAGCCACTTGTTTCCATTAGACTTAAACACGAAAACCAGATGCACATTTCTTCTATCAGTCAGAAGTCCAGGGTCAGGATTGGTGAAACAGATGTTCCCTGCTCGGAAAATTTGCAAACACATGATTAGCAAAACAGTTTTTCATTCTGCTAAATCTGAAGTCTATTTTTCCGTAAGAGGACAGTCACAATCTTTTTTTAATGTGAAAAGCGAGACAGATTTCAGAATAGAATTTATTTATTAAGACCTCAGAATGTCTGCACTCTTCTTCTAATAGCGGAAGGTCATCATTACTGAGGACCTTCAGTCCTGTACTCCTAAGAGACCAACTCCTTTGGATTTTGTCTGGACAGTATATTTGCTGTAGCTCTCGTTGCTTCTAAAATGCCCCAATTAAAGCAAACCTATACAATAAAAAAGACAAATACATTATAAATGCAGCTGGAAAAGCTCAATCATTAACACTGCAGCCGAATTTTTCACTAATTTTGAATACAGCGGGGAAGGCTTACAACTTCTGTCAGCATTATATTGCAGTCTATGTCCCCATTTCCCCTCACTTCCTGTCCTAATACTTACATATGACTTGACAGAGGTTCTAGTCTTTCCCCATTCCATCCAAGACAAAAGAGTTTTTGTTGGAGTTGGTCTTTAAAGTGGACCTGTATTCAAACAGCAACCCCTAGTTATCCTAACAGTTCTGCGCATGAATGGTAACCAAGGCTAAAAAATCTATATGCTGCATAATCTGGTGCACCAGGCTACAGGACCAAAGCCAGTGGGAGTCTCTGATAAAGGGGTTTCTGGGAACAGCTTCACTTTGATGCCTCCTCCCCACACGCCTAAACATTCCTTAAGTCTCATACATACAAATATATCAGACGAATGATCTGCCTTTTTTTTTTTTGCATGCTAGACTCATATAGAAAATGAAGAGGTTACTAAAGCTATGAAAATTCTCATAGGACATGTAGCCCTAGCCCCTTAGGAGTTGCTGAAGGTTGCGTCCCCCTACATAGCCAGGCAAAATACATTTTTCCACACAGACATGCATCCAAAAAACAGTAACCAGTCCTTGCTTTGAAGCTTTTTTAGGGGATTGAACTTGGACGGGGTAAGGGGTGTACGGAATGCCCAGGGGAATGGCAACAGAGGACAAACTCCCTGTAACTATATACAAGTCTGTACAGCAAAAATCCTCTTCTGGGGAGCTAGCCAGCATCTCCTGTAGTGCCACCTCAGACCCCAGATTCTCCTGATCCAGCTGTTCTGGGTGAATCTCTGGGCAGGGGATCCAGTGCCTGTCACTTTAACTGTAAGACAAGCAGGTAATTCAGTTTACCACTGAAGTGCTCCTTCCCCTTACTGGCCCTGGGGGTGCAGGTCTTCT